AACCGGGTCCGGCGGAGTGAGGAGAGACGTCGCCCCTCTCCTTGCGTAACTCAGTTTCCCGAGTTTGCTGGACGGGGTACGCGTGCCTTGCCCTTTTCGGGGCATTGTGCGGTCACATGGGTGACTCCGTTGCACCAAAGGCAGTATCCGTACTTCTGACGTAGGTCATAGACCTCCTTGGCAGTATCCGTACTTCTGACGTAGGTCATAGACCTCCTTGGTGATCTTATATGCCGTCCATGGCTGCTGCCCAGCTCCCGTCGTTGTCGTCTCTTGTGTCGCCTTGTTCTTACGAACTCTCTTGGGACGCTTCGGCGGGAGCGCTGCGACAATTCCTCCATCACTCGAGGATGCTGCTGCAGCGTGGTGGTCGTCGGTTTCCTCAGAAATCACGGMATTGTTATGTGTCGGACGTTGATAGGCCTGCTTAGCCACATAATGCGGCTGGGATTGTCTCTCGTTAGCGGCCTTGTCGTCCGTTCGGATGACCAAGTTCRCTCGATCCAGAATGGCCTGGAATGTGGTATAGTCGTACTCGTTACCGAGTGCCGACCGAAATCCCGCGCACGATCGCGAGAAGAACTCGGATCGTTGATTTGGAAAACTCAAATCGAATCATGGCGTGGTCACTATCTTTTGCCACTTCGTTGTCCAGTCTTGAGTTGGCATGTTCCCCTGAGAGCATGTGTACACCTCATTCATGGCCGCCTTCGCGACGTTGCGGACCATGAACCGGGTGAACCATAGCTGCTCGAACTCCTTCCATGTGATGTGCGTGTGGAGTTCGACGATGGTGCACTTGTGGGTGGCCGCCAGGTGGTATATCCATGCCTGCGCTCCTCCAATCACTTGCAAATAGAGTGCTTTCAACATGTCGTTCGCCGGGACAGTGCGGCATGACGCTTTCGTGAGGAAACGTTGCCACCATGTCAAAGCGTCCGACTTGTTGTAGTCGTCGAACTTGCAGATGTCGAAGTGCGGCATCTTGAACGTCTTTGTAGCGGCGTCCGGTCTCGTCTGTAGCTTGGTGATGTCCGTCTTGAKGGCGGCCACCGTGCTGCTGATCGTGTCCGGTCCGTTGAAAACACCKATGTCGCYGATGATGGTGACGACGTGATCGATGCGTTCATTGATTTGCTTCGTCGCGTCCGTCGTGCAGCCTGGCGCTGCTGAGGCCTTGGCCTCAATGCCGTTGATGCGTGCGATGGTAGAGTTCATCAGCTGTTGCTGTTGCTGTTGCTGCACTGCTGCGTCGCGGACGTCAGCCATTACAGCGGCCAGGTCTTGCTGGTACTGCTGTCTTTGCTGACGATCCGCGTGCAGGTGTGCCTGCAGTAGTTTATTGTTCCACATTACTCCCCTCATTACGTTCAACATCACGGTAGCCAGGTTACTTTTCTCTGCCTCCGCCTGTGTCGGTTCCGCCTGCGTTTCCGTAGGCACAAAGATCATGTCTTGGAGTAACGTTGTCCACTGATGCTCACTAGCAATCAGGGACTCCGTGCTGGC